TTAGCCTCCTGAGTAGCTGGGATTACAGTCTCCCACCACTACACTCAACTAATTTTTTGTATTTTTAGTAGAGATGGGGTTTCACCATGTTGGCCAGGCTTGTCTCAAACTCCTAACCTTGTGATTCGCCCGCTTCAGCCTCCCAAAGTGCTGGGATTACAGGCATGAGCCACCGCGCCCAGCTGCTGGTTGGCTATTTTTATGGTTATTTCTTGATCGTATACTAAATAAGGGTGGATTATTCATGAGTTTTCTAGCAATTCTTCCTTTTAGAACATATAGGGTAACTTCTAGATGTTGCCATGATATTTATATACTGTCATGGTGCTGGTAGGAGTGTCGTCTAGCATGAGAATGCATTGTGATTAGTGAATAATGAGCAATGAGGATGACCAGAGGTAGCTTTCCTCACCATCTTGGTTTTCGGCAGGTTTTGGCCAGTTTCGCTGGCTTCTTTACTGCATCCTGTTTCATCAGCAAGGTCTTTGTAACCTGTATCTTGTGATACCAGCCTGCCAACCTTGTATTTGATCCTGTGACTAAGGATGCCTAACCTCCTGGGAATGCACTCCAGCAGATCTCAGTCTCATTTTACCCATCTCCTATTCAAGATGAAGAGTCTCTGAGTCGACTCCTTCTGACATATTTCCTGGCTCTACCACCCTTAGGATTAAGGCTTCCCTTGTAAAAGGGAAGAGGGAATAACCGAATAACCTGCCCCTTTCTTGGAAAACTCATGAATAATCCACCCCTTGCTTAACACATATTCAAGAATAATCGTAAAAAGTACCCACCAGCAGCCCTTGGGGATGCTCTGCCTATGGAGTAGCCACTCTTTTATTCCCTTCCTTTCTTAATAAACTTCCTTTGACTTTACTCTGTGGACTCATCCCAAATTCTTTCTTGCAGGAGATTCAAGAACTTTCTCTAGGGGTCAGGATCAGGACCCCTTTCCAGTAATAGTTTGGTGAACTGAAACTTTAACGTGGGTGACTTTATGTTTATTTTTATTTTTAGTCTTGTCTTTTGGGGCCTAGTGCAAGAGCTTAATCCAAAACAATGGCCTCCTATAATTTGTGTTTAACATTTGTCAGGTTAAAACCCTGTCAGTGTGACAAACTGGAAACAAAATTGTGTTGGGCCGCTACTAAACCACACTCAAAATGCCTGTGTCATCAATGTTTGCAAGCAGAGAGCAAATGCAGCCCACCAATGGTCACCTGGAGCAGCAGCTGCTAGAAGCAAGAAAGTCTGGAAGGGACCCAGGGCTTGCAGGCTCAGCCAGGCTCCCCCTGCTCCTCAACAAGGCCTTTGGGCTCTTTCAGAAATACAGTTGGCCCTGAGCTCTGAGAGGTGGGAAGGGGAGGGGCTGAGAGGCTGAAGGCCAGGCCACACCAGGCAGTGACACCCCACTGCCCTTGAGATTTCTCAGATCTGAGTAACTTCAAACTATTTGAAATTCTCCCAAAGCTAATGTGTCTGCCTAAAAGAAAGATGAGACAAAATTAACATAGAGAGTTTAATTGTGCTCAGGTTGAGAACTGTAGCCCAGGACACACTTCCAAGTTGCCTTGGGGAGTGCTCCAAGAACAAAAAGGAGGCCCAAATTTTTCAAGATAAAAGAACAATTCAGGAGATGGAGTGATTACAGAGTTGTCAGGCATCCTCATTGGTTTATGGAAATAACATAGGTTAGTGATTGGCTACACAGTGTTGAATTATAGGGTGGATGACATCTTATGACTAATTGGCCTCAGTCTAGAGCCACATAGCAAGTGGCTTCAAGAGGTAACTATTTAGCTGAAGGGAGAGTGAGCCATGACTGTTGTTCCCTTCTAAATGTTCTCTGGGCCTGATAATTTAAAGGGGTTCACCTTCCTCAGGAAAAGAAATGTGTTTGGTGTTTGTTTGTTTGTTTGTTTTCTTTCTCAGATGATAATAACTGAGGCTTCTTCTCTGTTTGGCCTCACTTCCCAATTCCTCATGCAATTGCTCTTTTCTTTCCAACCCAGCAGCCATACAGATTTCTAGAACACCCCTCAGAGAGGGCAGAAGTTCAGGTGCAGTGTTTTCTAAACAGCTGCCTGGTCCATCTGTGGGTCATGAAACCCACGTGGTGGGTCACAGCTAGCTTTTTCATTGTCAATGAGATAGAATAGAGTGAAAAAGCCTCTGCCTGCTTTCCACACCGGAGCACGTACTTTTGTCACACAAACTATGACTCAGACACCACAAACCCAAACCAGGCCCCCAGGTCAGAGGCTGATTCACCTGGGGCCTGTGGTGAGACTACAGCATGACTCAGACCCCAGACTCCTGACCTGCCCCCAGCTCAGAGAGGCTCACAGTGGCAGGCCCACTCCCCTGGCAGCCAAGTCCAGTCTAATAAGCCATCACTTTCTCAGGTTGCTTGTCCTAGTTGTCAGCAAAAAGAGTCAAACTCTGTAAAATGTTTGAAGAGATTTATTCTAAGCCAAATGTTGAGTGACCATGGCCCATGACACAGCCCTCAGAAGGTCCTGAGAACATGTGCCCAAGGCGATCAGGGTGCAGCTTGGTTTTATACATGCATGAGACAGCAATCAAATACATTTAAGAAATACATTGGTTTGGTCCAGAAAGGCAAGACAACTCAAAGCGGGATGGGGGGCAGGATTCAAGGCTATAGGTAAATTTAGACATTTTCTGGTTTACAATTGGTTGAGTTTGTCTAAAGACCTGGATTGATAGAAAGGAAATGTTCAGGTTAAGATAAAAGATTGTAGAGACCAAGGTTCTTTGAAGTCTTACAGTGGCTGCCTTAGAGACAATAGATGACAAATGTTTCCTATTCAGATCTTTAATAAAAGGTGCTAGACACTTAATCTCTTTAAAATTGGGAGAGCCTGGAAGAAAAAGCTCTAGCTATGTTAATAGAGATTTT